TCTCCAAAAAAAAAAAAAGAAAGAAAGAAAGAAAGAAAAGAAAAAGAAAAAAGAAAATAAGCAGAGGTCGGGAAAGAAGAAGTGGGGGCGGGGGAGTGGGAGGCTGATAGCAGTCCCATAAAGAAAACATGCAGGCCACTAGGCGACGATGCATGTAAGGGATGGGAATACTTCGGGTGAGGTTACCGTGTGGAAGGGCTCAGAAGTAAAACTTGGTTTACCTTACCAGGTTATTTTAAACGCCAAAGACACAGTATTAGTAGTTTCATTTCTTGGTGGTGACTACCAGCATTCAGGCGGGGTGAAAGCTTCATGAGAAAGGTTAGGATACTCTGAACAGGATAGTGAGTTTTGCTGTCCGTGTGAACGCCAACAAAACTCGGTTTCTCCACTTGCCGTGATGGGACAGCTTCCCCGTGCCTCGCGTACTGCAAGCCAGGGCCAACTAGAACCACGCCCCTCCCGGGGACAGGCTCACCGCTTGCGTCACTTCCGGACCTGAGCGATTCGGATCCGGGTGAAGCTGAGCCTCTTGCTCTCTCTGACTGGTGCGGCTGCCGCGCTGTCCGCGTTATCTCCTCCCGGTGAGACCGAACTGCAGTGTCCACCGGTGAGGAGCCATCCCTGTCCAGGGCAAAGAAAGACGAGGAGGAGACCAGGGAGCGGGCGGTGGCCGGGCTGCGCCGGTGCGGGCTGGCGACTCTGCTCCTCCGCTTGCTGCTGTCTCTGGGAACTGGGTGCCGGCGCTGAGAGGCTTCCAGCGGACAACGACCCTCTTCCCCGGCTCCCCTGCCCACCCTGCCGGGGAGGGCAGAAGATGCCGGTGAAGAAGAAGAGAAAATCCCCTGGGGTGGCAGCAGCAGTAGCGGAAGACGGAGGCCTCAAAAAGTGTAAAATCTCCAGGTACCACCTCCCCCCACCCTTCAAGCTTTCCTCCTTCCTCCCTTGCTGGACAGCTGGAGGAAAAGGAGTCGGGCTCAGCCTCCCGGAATCGGGCTGGAGACAGGTGAGGCCCCTCTGATCAAGCTAGGCTAGACGGTAGGTGCAGAACAAACACAGCGAGTCTCCGCTTCCGACCAGACCTCGTGTTCGCGTGTGTGCAGTCTGGCGTTTATGGAGGAACTAGAAGAGCCGCCCCACGTTTGAGTCTACGTGCACTGGAGGGTGGGAAAACACATGCACATATAAATTGCGCTCTTTCCCCCATCCCCAGCCCCCACCCCTTTTCCCGACCTAGAAGTGAGTACAGACCGCGGAAGGGTCACTTCTAGAATTTCCCTGTACAATGTGAAGAAAGGAGCAGAGCATGAGGAATCTTGACTTGACAGCTGTCTTGGGAATGGTAGAAAGGAAAACTACTATGCTATAATTGGCCTCCACATTTAATATTTGGAGTAGCCTAACCCGGAAGATCCCAGCAGGAAACCTTTTAAATTGCAGGAACCCCATTTTATGGAAATACAGTGCCTCACCTTTGCCAAGTCCTTATGTTCAGAGTTGGAAAGGCCATGCATGCTTTTTGTTTTTTAGCATTCAGAATGCTGTTAGCTCTAAGTATAAATATTAATAATTTGGGAGCTGTTGTATTCTGTATCCTCTTGTGAAAAAGAAGACAAGGCAGAACTATATACTTAAAGCTCTTTGGCCTCATTGTAGCTTATCATTGGGACATCACATTTTTTTTTTATGCTGCAAAAAAATCATTGCAATTTTGGTGTGAGAAGTGAACTTTAAAAAAAAAAGTCTTATTGGGTGTCTTTCTATCAATGGTTGGCACTTGATATGACAACTTCAGATGCTGCCATTGTAAGGAGAAAATAATGATAGAGCTCTCCTTAAAGGGAGACCTAGTGCTTAAAATGTGAGGTAGGTGACTTCTCGTCTGCGTCTTCCTTTTTGTAATTGTTTGAATTTTTTTCCTTTGTTACTGTGCTTTGGCAAAGGAGGTTAACAAGTATTTCTTGATCTATTAGTGTGAAAGATGATACAGTTTTCTTCTACCTCTTGGTAGCTGACATTAGAATTGACATAGTTATTTTAGTAGTTCATATTTTTATTAAACAGGCAAATTATTAGTTATTAGTTTCTTAGTACTCTTGGCCATCTTAAATGTATAATGTATCAAAATTATTTAAATTAAGCACATTAAAATAGCTAAGCAGGCAGATTTTAAAACTAAGATGACACTTTGTCAATTTACATTTTTAAATATGGAACCCTTAGTGTACATTAAATTACTCAATTGCAGAAGTTCTAGCATTTCTGTATCATAGTGGTAGTGTAATTATTTGAGTTCCTTGAGAAAAGATTCTCTGAAGTCTACTAAATCCTAGAGGCCATTTTTGAACTTCCCAAATTTTAATGATTTTATGAAAAATAATGAAAATGATTTTATGAAAAAAACGAACATAATCTGAGATTAAATAGCCTCGGCCATTATTTGGACTATTAATAACTTTTAGGAATTTTTGTGGTTTTTTTTTTGTTGTTTTTTTAATCTGGAATTTAATATACCTTTATGTCCTGAGTCATCATTTATCTTTAAAAATCTATTTAAGCTTGGTAGATGATAAATAAACAACTCTTATTAGAGCATTTTATTTTGAAATATTAAATATCAAAATATACTTTGTAAAATTTTGTTTTCAAATATTTATTATACATAAATACAGTTTGTATACAAATCAGTAACAGAATCACAATGAAGATTTGTACTTTCCCAGCTACCACTCCTGCATTGAGACTGAGGTTGAACTTCTCTGTGTAGTCTTTTGAAATGTGGGAAATTAATTTTATTTGATATTTTTGGAATTTGATAGTGATCAAAGTAGCATTTGGGTTTCGTTAGCCAGAAATTCTTATATGTAGACTACTGTTTCAAATTGCAAATACTTCAATTTTTTTCCTATAATGCCACCTGTTAAAAAATGTGTAATGCTGAATTAAAATAGCTCATTTTGAACTTAGTTTCTCACTAGGAGCTGAGACTTGATAAAAATCTTAGACATTTGTGTGTTTTCTAAGCTATTGCAGATCCCAACCCCCTGCTAGACTAATAAGTGGAGAGGAACATTTTTCAAGCAAGAAGTGCCTGGCTTGGTTTTATGAGTATGCAGGTAATGAAATTTATGTAAGAAGATATCAGTCATATGCTTTTAAAAGTTTTTTTGGTTTATACATTTAACAAATAATTTGTTACAGGCCTGCTATGTGTGTTAGTGCTGTGTGATGAGATTAGGGTCAAGACAGGATTGGTAGATAGGGTAAAAATTTGATGCATTTCAGACTGATATTTTAAAAATATATGTTCAGTATATATTTAGTGGGAAACTCATTTACTATTAATAAAATTTGTAAACAGATTCACTTATTAATTTACATCCATTGGCTAAAGTACTAATCCGGAAAACAAAAAGTGCATAATAAAACATTTTTCTATTCAGTATTCTGGAAAACACAAAGTACATAATAAGCCATTTTCAATTCAATATTCTTATTTTTGAAATTTTTCTTAACTACAAACTAACATTTTCTGAAACTTTTAGGGAGACATAGTAAAAGAATTAAAACTCAGATATATCATTGCACAACACAGTTACCCTTTAACGATTTTTATTTAGCCATTTGCTTCTACTAGAGATGCAATAAGTAAGAAAGTAAATAGACAGATATGAATACAGCGTGATAAATACTGCATTAGAAAGATAAACTCTGGGAGTTCATGGGGAAAATATATATATAACCCAGCCTTTAAAGTGTAAAGAGAGGCTTTCTGGAGGAGCTAACTTAACCTCAGCTAAATCCTGTAAGTGGTGAATGAAAAGTTTCCAGAGTGAGGCCATAACTTAAGGTTGAAAGTCAAAGCTAGCCAGGCATGAGGCTGAAGGGTAAGCAAATATATGTAAAAGAACAGTTATTTCCTATTTACACTAACTTTTTCATAAGCATTTATCATTCTTTTTTTCTTAGAATGTTTTGGTTTTTTGGAGTTACTGATTTTAAAGCTTTGCTTTTTCCCCCCTTTTCCCTGTTTCCTTTTTCTTACCTGCTTCCTTGTATTTTTGTTTTGTTTTTTCCCCTCCTTTTATCACTATCATTCTCAAAATGTTTGTTTAAAATAAAAGTGTATATATAGCTATTGCCTCATATTTAGTGCTAGTCCACGTTAAGTCTAAAGTGTACCCTGAATTTGACATACAAGTTTAGACAAACTGTATGGAAAGTGATACTATTTTGAAAGGGGGGCAGTAACTTTACTGTTGAGATTAGCTGAGTGATCCCAAAAGTATAATTTAAAAATTGTTTAGTAACAGGACAGATTCTTTCTAGACCAGAAAAAAATGCTATTACTGGCATCCCAAGACAACCACTAACCCAATTTAAATGAAGGGAGTTCATTTTCTTACTGACCTCCATTTAAAATGTTGACTCATTATTCAAAATGCCAATTTTACTGGTATGCATAATATAGAATCAAAGGTCATTCATCTTATTTCACTTATAAAGGTTTCTAGATACCATAAAAATGGTAAATTTTTATCTTTTATGCTTACTTGTTTTGCCTCTCCTAGGAACTTTCCTAGTTAGCGTAAGATTCTAATTAAACATTTCCTATATTACCATTTTTAATAGCCAATTTAGTAATTGCTAGTATTACTCCAGGAATTGTGCTAAATATATCATTTTTTCTTATGACCATTCTGGTTAGTAGGTGGTGTTATTCCCATTTTATAGATGAGAAATCTGAGGCTTAGATTAAGTAGTTGGCCCAAGGTCATACAGTGACAAGAGCCAGGATAGGATACAAACCAGGTCATTCTGACCCTAAAGCCCATGCTTTTACTACTGCCTTATAATGTTTATTTTTAATTTAAGTATGTACATGATTATGTACATGGCAACTAAATTTTCACGTTTACAAAGAAAATATTAGTGCACGTAAGATTAATTTATATTCTGTCATTCATTCAGTGATTCGTTTGATAAATGTTTGTTGAGCACTTGTTTGTGAGTCTGTGCTGAGTGCTGCAGATACAATGGTGAACAAGTCTGACTAGGTCCCTGTACTCAAGGGACTTGTCTTCTAGTGAGTAAGACAGTCAGTAAACAGGTATGTAGTCAAAATAATTACAGATTATGGAGGGTTATAAAGGTAATAAATACAGTAAGGTTCAGGAATAGAGAGTAAGGAACGGTCGGATAGACTTTCAGATTTCAGAGAGATTTCAGAAGGCCTCTCTGTGGAGACTGCTTTGGGCAGAGACCTGGTCAGGGAGGAACCAGTTTGTCAAATAAATAGAAACCATTTTGTCTTAAAATGAGGATGGATGTTCTTATTAAAATGGAGACAGTAATTGTGCCTGAGAATGATGCATGTAAAGTCCTTAGCGCAGAGTATCTGGTATATAGTCAGAATGCAATAAATGTTAGTTATTATTATTTAAACGATAATAGAATTACAGCATCAGATTTACTGGTTGTGTGTTTTTTGCTATGCTGTTCCAAAACTAACAACTAGTCTTATGTAGAAGGTGCTGTGTCACTGAGTACTTTTTTTTTTTTCTGAGCATCTGTTATGGCTGGCATGGTATTAGGCTCTGCAGATATAGCTGGGAACATTTCTTATGGTTATAAAGAAATCAGGAAATTGATGGTGTTTTTCTTTTAGTTTTGAAAATATCACTAAATTTGTTACTATGTATTATAGGTCATGTGTGATAAGCCTGATGGTTTTGCCCTTTGACAAGTCCTCTCATTCTTGAGTGATATTTAAATTAACAAGGATTCAGTAATATACTGGGCCTATGGAAAACAAAAACATGGAAAGTGAAAGAGCACGTTTAAAGTCTTATAAAGAATTGAAAAATAAGGTTGGGATTGCATAGTCCTGATGTAGTAGCCAGCTGGTAGAGTGAACTGGTAGAGTAAACTAGTAGAGTTAACAAAATCATTTCCATAGCTTCTTTAATTGAGTGAAAACCTAGTTGTCCAAAAGAGTTAGTTAAATTCATCTCCGGAGGTTTTACCCAGGGAGTAGTTTTATTGGAAGGATATGGTTCAAAAAATATAATTAACATTATGTAATTGGGGAAAGAACATTGATATAGATCTTGCTTTAGACTTAGACCTGTTACTATTTGTATCACTTTTGGAAAGTCAGTTAACATTTATGGACCTTATCTATATAAGGTCATATATATATATATATATCTTATATATCTCTATATAACCTAATTTGATTTTAGTCAAATTTTAATTACTAATCGCCGGCTAATCACCAAGTTTCTAGGGGGGCTATGATACTGATATTTCTTGACATAATTCGTCAGCCTTCTCTTCTAATCACTAACAGCAACTTTGAGGGCAAGTCTGCTTTTTTGTTGTGTTAGAAAAATTTAGAATATATTCCTGTCATAGCTAAAAAAAAAAAAAAAAACAACTTTTTTCCCCTTAAATTTTATCTGATTTTTTTTCTTCCAACCATATATAAGGATACATACTCAGTTATTTTTTTAACACCGTCATTGCATATGTATGCTTTTTAAATTGCAAAATTAACACTTTCTCATTAAATTAATTCTCTAAATATATAATATTAGGATGTGAAAGTCTCATATAATTATCACCCCATTCACCTTTTAACACCTCAGTGCATTGTTAATATTTATTTAAACCTCATGACATTTACCCTTTACACAAAAAAATTAAAAGAGGATTTTGGTTTCAGACAGTGTATTGATGTCATCTTAGCAGCCTGGATCTCATTTCAGGCAGGAAGAATGTATTAGCCATGTACTGGATGGCTTCATTCTTTTATTAAGAAAAACTGCAGGACGCTGGCTTTGTGTTGTGCTTATAACCTAAAGGTGATACTCTAAAAGCCACGTGAGTAGCCTTGGGTTAATCTATAATTATAAAGCTGATGTGTTTTGTTCTTTAAAAAAGGAAGATAGAGGGTTCTTTTGGCTACTTTAACAATAATATTTCAAGACTATATTTTCAAAAGGCCATAGTAGTAAACACATTTTTATCATATTTCACATTGTTATAATGTTTTAGTCACAAATGAGACCTAGTGATGATGTAATTGCTATATTTTGGGAGTCTGATAACATTAAAAAAAATGAGAATTGATGTATTGACTTATATTTAGTGTTACTAAAGGAGCAAAATAAGGAAAAAGTTAAGTATTAGTAATTAATTTTTGGACAAATGATAAACACGTACTAATTGAGAGATTAAACTTACGTTTCTGTGTTAAGGTGACATAACTGATGCCTTGCTGTCTATCTTAGAACCAAGATGATGAGGAAAATAGCTCTTTCTAGAAATGGAATGTAGTAATTTTCATAAGTCATTTTGATAATATGTATATCTTTTTTAAGAATTAAATTATATTTGAATATATTTCAAAAGGGCAATAAATGACCTTCTGTTTTAATAAGTAAACAAATATTCTCCTTCTGATTACTGTATTGAACTGTGCATTGGTTCTGACGCATTCTAGTAGATAAAAAAGCTACAGCCTTCTTATGTTTCTTTTTATTCAAAGTCGGCTATCAGTAAATGTTCTTTTTAATGGATAGGTTTAGGTTTTTATACAAACCAGTGATTTATACTAATGGAATATTTCATTACTGCTTTATTTCCTTAATTTCATATTGTGATGTGGTGGTCAAAGAATACTTCAGAAATTTAAAATCTTATAACAGTTATTTATACTTTATCGAAGCTTAATTTAAT